CGCACCGGCCATTCCTATATAGGATCCGAACCTGCGGTGGGAGCGTCGCTGCACTCCCAGCACCGCACTCTCCTGAGTGCGCCACGGGGCCGGCCCATGTAAGCCTTTTAAATGTATATTTTTGATAAGTATCATAATATTCATACTATATTCCTGTAGCAGTGAGTGTGTGTATATATATACATATATATAAATATATATATACACACACTTTATGTACTATATACATAAGTTGCATGCTCAACTTTCTTTTTTAACTAAGATGGGTACACGCTTAAAAAAATTGGGATCTATAGATTGTGCTGTGTAAACATCCCATCATAAGTCTCCATTCACACTGGCTTTGTCCTGTCCCTTCCTGCTTACCCAGTCTGTGGGCCTTGAGAGTCGAGTCTACCGTCAGCATCCCCTGGGAGCCACTCCAAAGTTGCCGCACCCACCCCCGGATACTTCCATTCAGTTGTTCTGCCCAGAACCCAGGCTGCTGGTTTGGAAGACAACCACTAACTCAGGAACACAGCCTGGCTTGTAGGAAGCACTAGATAAACGTTTGCTAACATTGTTCTTGATACTATCTTTGTTTTTTTTTGACTGGTGAGGGGATCGCAACCCTCGGCACGGTGTGGTCTGCACCATGCTCAGCCAGGGAGCGCACCGGCCATCCCTATATAGGATCCAAACCCGCGGCCTCAGTGCTACCAGCGCCACACTCTCCTGAGTGAGCCACGGGGACGGCCCAGTTCTTGATACTATCTCGAGACCCCTCCTGAACTGATCCCACCTCCCTCTCTTGCCTAGGGAACAGCACAGGAAGGATGCTCTTCACAGAGCTTTGAGGACACTAGCTCTGTACTGCAGGCGTCTCCTGGCTCCACTGAGTTCCAGTGAGCTTTTTCATACCAGCACTTTCACAACAAGCTGCTCTGTCTGGTTCAATATTTATTATTGTTGTATCTGCCCTGAAAGAGCAACCACAGATTCCATGAATAATAGATGAAAAGGTGGGCTCGTTTCTCAGTAGGCCTCGTGGGCACCTCTGCCTACTGATGGAACTAACTGCCAAAGCCAACGGCTCTTAAATGATTCCCAGAAGGAGGACCAGGTGCTGTGGTAGGAGGAGAACCTTCCTCTTTCCCCAGCTGGACCACAGAGGAGGGATGTGCCCACCCTTCTGCATGGGTCCCGTTCACAGCTTGCCATCTGCCAACGTTGGCCTGAAGGATGTTGACTCTCCTTGGACCATGTGGGAGAACCACAGGGGTGGGATGGGGGTGGGGGGCAGGACGTACCGCTCTCTCCCTGGCCCTTGGCGTGGGGTGTCTCAGGCATGTCACTGGCGTCCTTGTGCTCTGCAGCTCTCCTGGAGGTTCTTGTCTTGGTGGGCAGCTCTGGGGCCTGTAGCAAGGTGCTCGTAGCCCCTCGTATGCCTTGTTTCCCCAGCTCCTTCTCCACTTCTAAGAATCACACACACATACAACAAAACCCAGCAGCCATCAGTAACAGCATCAGCCTGGTATGGTGGTTCTCTTTTTCTTTTTAAGATAAGTGGTCATCTACACACAGTTACAGGAAAGGGACACAAATGCTGTAGAAACAGCATTTGTAAGAACCCTGCAGGGCTACAGAAGACAGAGACCAACACTCCCCATGTCTGCCCGGATTTCTGGTCTCAGATAACTTGGCCCAGGAAGTGAAATGAAGGCCCTGGGGTGGAGTCCCACACCTCTACCATCCAAACCAACCTTTTAACCTGCTGCAGGCACCCTGGGGACAAGTACTTTACCATCTGAGATACTGGATTCCTGGAACATTGTTTCAAAGGCTTGGTGGATTTCAGCAAAGGATGGCCGGTCAGAGGGGTTCCACTGCCAACCTGGACAGACGGGAGCCAAGTCAGACCATCCATGCGGCCTTGCATGCAAGCACAGGGCTAGCAATCCTCAAGGACAAGTCCGGAAATGAAAGAAGCATTCCAATCCTGCTAACCATCTTTTGCCGTGACAAGTTAAAATGATGCATGCCACTGTGTCCTATTATAGACGTTAAGAATTTGAAAAGACACTAGATCCTGGCAGAAATATGGATTGTAAAACCCCAGAGATACATTCACAGCAAGAACTGCATTTACAAATATATTTTTCCCAGCCCACTCTAGTAGGTGTAGAAAATTACTAAGCCAAATAGCTTGCCTTCTATCTCATCTTTACTTCATGGTTATCAAAGTCTGAAATCCTCCTCAGTGAAGAAATGCTAATTAAACCAAGACTAAAATGAGGATTAAAAGGACTGATAAAGCTCATGTTGGTGAAGATGTAAAGTCACTCACGCACACTTCTGATTGAAGTATACATTGGTATAACCTTTCTTGGAAGACAATTTGGTAAAATTTATTAAAATTTTAAATGCACACAGTCCTCTGAATTGACAGTTCAAGTGTTAGAAATGTCAGCAGGAGTGCACAGATGCATGGACAGGATGTTCATTCCTGCCATGTTTACAATGGCAAAAACCAAACAAATGTGTAAAACAACCAAATGCTCATCAAAAGAGGACTTGACGAATGAATTAAACCATTTAAAGGAATGCTAGGCACCTATATAAAAATAAGAGGGGAGAGAGGAAGAGAGACCTGAATATACAGGAGGCATGGGAAGACAGGACTATTATACTACTGCGTGGGAAAAAAGTAGAGGGAATGATCATATAAATATCTCATAAATGAGACAAACATCACCTGGAGTGTTTAGCTATTATAGCAGAATGTTTGGAGGTATGGCCTAGGAGTCTGTATTTATTAATAAGAAACCCAGGTTTAATTATCTATCAATACATTTTTGCTCAAAAAACCCCCCAGAACAAATCACAAATATACTATCTGTAAATAAAGGTATATAGAAGCATTGAGAAAAGTCTGAAAAAAAATCATCAAACTGTTACATTAGTTGCTTCTGAAGAATGGGAACGAAGAGAGCAAATGGAATATTTCAATTTTTTATGTTACGTATGAACTCTTGCATCGTTGGAATTTCTTACAATGCGCACGTATACGTTTTAGAACAGGCTGGGGAAGGCTCACATGCACGCATGAGTTCGTAGACCTTCTCTGGGCAGCCTTCTGGGCGTTCCATGCGGTAGTCTTTCTCCAGCAGCTCATACACCTGGGACAGGTCAATTCCGGGGTAAGGTGACATGCCATAGGTAGCAATTTCCCAAAGCAATACTCCAAAGGCTAAAAGAAAAAGGAAAGGAAAAGGCTGTTCAAGATATGCAAGGTATGACTATACTGCATTTAAACCGGTTAACTGTGCAGCAGGTGCCAGAAGTTATACCCTCAGAAGTGGCCCAGGCACTGACATTTTACAAGGCTCTTAATTACTAACAGCCTAGGACAAAACAGGATGGAATGAGAGTTTTGTTCCACTCACCCCACAGAAAAAAATATGCTGAAGGAGAGAAGATGACTGGGTTATCAGCCCCTAGGGGTCCTTCAGGCAATGTGGCCATCTTGCTGGGTGGGGCACGTGATAGAAGAAACTGAGGTCTGGAAGTCAGGTGGCCCCTTTCTACTCATAATTCTGTGCCCAATTAGCCATGTGCCTAAGACAGGCCACCACTCCTTTCTGGGTATACAAGCTGATCTCCAAGGTCCCTTCCAACTCTAAAAATTTCATATAAAACTTATAAAATAAATACTTGAAAGTTTTGAATACCAGATTACAGCCTGGAAATTCCATTTCCCATTAAAGGAACCAGGACTCCTTGGAGAAACAGAAAGCTGATCTCCAAGGTCCCTTCCAACTCTAAAAATTTCATATAAAACTTATAAAATAAATACTTGAAAGTTTTGAATCCCAGATTACAGCCTGGAAATTCCATTTCCCATTAAAGGAACCAGGACTCCTTGGAGAAACAGGTGTTTCAACTATGGGGAAGGGAATAAACCTGGAATATTTTGTTATTCTGGATAGCATGGACATTATAAAAGACTATAAGGGTAATGTCAAAAGGATCAGGAGCTAATCTAAAGTTCCCACTGGCCAAAGATGAGACAATCTAAAGGTTAAAAAGGAAAATGACCACAGTGGATTAAAACATATCAAATATATTTAAATCCAAGAGTTCATAATAATACTACAAAAGACAAACAACAACAAAAACCTAATCGGTCACCACTGAATGGTATTAAGAAACCAACTTGTTTTTTCAAAAACTGGTAAATAAAAGCAAAAAAGCATTATCCTGCTTTTCCTATATAAACTGTACCACTGAGTAACCAAACAGATGGGGGACAGTTTCTCTTATAGGAGTATCCTGCTAATAAATGAGCAAGATATGACAGAATTACAGAATTATCATCTAGAAAACCCTTAGTAAACTAGTGGATCTAGGCACTGGGTATTATTAACTGCTAAAAAAAATAACAAAAAAGAGAAAAAATCAAGCATTATGTACCTATTGACGAAAGTACACCACCTCCTCTGACGTACTCTTAGGGAAAGAAAAAAAGAAGTCAAACCTGAACGTGCTCAAGCTCTCTCGGTCCAACTACCCACTTAGTAGGAACACTGAAGCCAGAGGACCAAACACAATTAATCACACCACGGGGTACAATGAGCAAAGTCCGGAATGTGGGAAATTCTAAAGGACCAGTGACAGAGTTTCTCCGGTAAGTAACCAGCCAGGGAGATAAAGAGATGCAGAGGGAGCTCAGGGATGAGGAAAGACTTAAGGGACGGATCAACTAATGCACCATGTGAACTATATTTGGATCTCAGTTCAAACTCTTAAAAAAAAAAAGTATAATTTTTAGGGTTCATATGGAAATTTGAACACTGAATGGATATTTGAGAAATTTCAGAAATTACTGCCAGTTTCAGGGGTAGCATTCTGGTTATACTAATAAAAAAGTCATCTTTAAGAGACTCATATTGAAATATTTTAGTGCAAAATAATATGATGTCTGGGACTTGCTTCGAAACAATAAGGGTCAGGGGAGTGTGTGGGGTGCAGAGTACGCAAGATTGCCCTGAGGGGATGATTGCTAAAGCTGGTGACGGGTCCACAGGGCTCAACTCTGTCGTCTTTATGCAACTCTGTTTTCTTTAGTATATGCTTAGAATTTGTCAACATAAAAAGTCGTTAAAAAAACTGTCACGAGACTTCAAAGGGTACTATCGTATTTAAAGCCCAAACCAAATAGCATTCCCTCGACAGAGGAAGAGTGTGGGTTCCTGTAGGGTCTGCTAGCTGCCCTGGCAAATCCAAGCAG